CCATCCATCCATCCATCCATCCATCCATCCATCCATCCATCCATCCATCCATTTATCCACCCACCCATCCATCCATCCATCCATCCATCCATCCATCCATCCATCCATCCATCCCATCCATCCGTCCATCATCCGTCCGTCTGTCTGCCTGTCCGTCCATCCATCCGTCCATCTATCCACCCATCAATCTATCCATCCACCCAACTGCCCCACCCGCCTACCCGCCTGCCTGCCTGTCCATCAATCCATCTAGTATTGCTGATTACTACTATGATATTAAGAAAATGATAATATCCAAAAGCTCTAACTTTTATTGTTTGTGCTGTCGTGATTACTAAATAGCGTTGTCTATTTTATTTCTCTGTAGAGCGGAGAATGGATACGGGTAAAGATCCACCAGATGGAGCCAGACATGCTGACGGTTGGCTCCACTCTGCCAGAAGCGGTACAGTTACGTGACCAGCACGATGAGATGCTGGCCAAGTTACAGGTGAGTGACACATAATAGGCTGGTGACACGCTCCCTCCGTCCATGCATAGGCTCTGTAGATATCAATCCTAGCCTTCAGTAAAGTTTATTGTGAAAATGCACTTTGACGTGTACGATTTTGGGTGTCAACGATGAGTCTTAAAAAACCGAGCAGTCTTGAAAAACTGTAACGGTGCTGCTCGCACTTAAATGCGTGTACAGTGTAGACACACTTTTATGTAGCTGTGCCAAATGCCAGGCCTGGCGTCTGCTGAGTTTACAGAGGATATGTTCTTGTTGAATGATACTAACCAAGGATGAAACCCACAAACAAGGCCTTGATAACGGAATCATGTGATCAGCGAGTGATAGAAGGCCCAAATATCCCAAAATAATGAGACTGTGTTTTTCTCCTTGAAAATGTATTTCTCCTTGAAAATAGTGTGTTTGCTATAGCGAATCTAAAACATATTTGTGGAAATATGGTAGACGTTTTCTTAGCAGTACGTTGAGAAAATTCTAGAAAATGTTATATCATAGCATAACAAAACAAAGTTTAGCAAATGATATCATCCTGTATTGGCTTCAACTAAAGTCTAGTTGGTATAGTTAGTGAATGGTTAATAATCGGATGCAATGCTAAAGCAGTTAAAAAGCAATAGCTGTATCAACAGTAACTAGAGCAACTACAAACAAAACAGCAGCAAGGATGACAACGACAACAACAGCAGCAGCAACAACAACAACAACAACAACAACAACAACAACAACAACAACAACAACACCAACAACAACAACAACAACACCAACAACAACAATAACAAAGACAGCAACGATACGATCGCCACCACCAACAACAATAACAATAACGACGTATAATAATATACGTTGTGAAAAGATTAGTAAAACACAATATTATGATGCAACACTGTACACCATGCAAGGTCAGAATTCATCATGGTAAAGCTTAGTTTAGCAAAGCTTAGTAAACCCGGGCAGAAAAAGCACAGATCGAATTTCCTCTGTAACCCATTTTTTGAAAGCATACTATAAAACACACAGCCCTAATTTCTGCATGGTCCTACACTAGTGAAAGATAGTGATACTTCTCACTGTACGGTCCTGGTATGGTTAGACATATGTCACAACGCGAATAGTTCTCGATGGTATAACCGAGGCCGGTTTTTATCACGTATGAAAAGTGATGAAATACGATGTTTGGAAACCAGTTAAGTTAGTCTGTCATCGGTCTGCGGGGTGATGCGGTTTGACTGACTGGCTAAATCAGCTGTGTTTTTGCAAAGAAGGTGGCTTAAGCTGAGACTTCTCCGCAATTTATGTTCAGCTGTGGTGCGGCAGTTAGCTGCGTAGATGCCTGCCTGTGGGTGCTGCCTCACGTCAATTTGTTTACAATTTGTTAGGCATTGTAGTGAATCGTCTTTCTGAATTTTAGGTGAGTAGATTGTGTACATAGTTTGAGTGCTTTCGAGTGAAGCGTCTTAAAAATTTGCTGCTGCTAAATTATGTTGAGCGGCTGTTTTGTTATGGCCCGCCCCAGCGCCAATATTGCCAGGCTAGCTGGTAGCAAGAACGTGTCAGGCGTGTGTTTTCAATACGATATATTTATATTCTGTAATTTACATCTTAAATCATAATACCGCATGGGAATTGCGTGCAGAATGTATCGATCAAATTAATATTCGCTCAAGTTCGTAACTTTTGTTAAACCGAACTACTGTAAACACTAGTCAAAGCCGCGTCGATTTTCGCATGCGCGTATAACTCTGGGGCTTCATCTATTTACTGCAAATTATTCCCAAAGGTGGCAGCATGTGCACATGTCGATGCCCAATCTCAAAGCCGAGATAGTTATTTCGTACGATATATCTATTACGGTGTGTAGTCATAATGAGGTGACTATCTAGGCTTGAAGATTTATGAACATCGTAACACAGCTGAAGCCACATAACAGGTGCACCTATGAGGCTGCGGCACTGGATGCAGCAATGGATGGGGCAGTGCAAACCAGTAGAACATCTCTACGGAGCTATATATTTTTATAGCAACTATATATATATATATATATATATATATATATATATATATATATATATATTATATATAATACGAGCACTGTGTGTTGAACTAGTGTGAAATGGTCACAGGTTATGTGACTCATGTCACATATCGGTTTAGGGTTCATCACAGACGGCCCATAGTATCACTAGGAAGATTTTCTGCCCTTTCCTCTCACTGTATGTTACAGTGTTGTTGTTGTGGTCATTCGCAATGGTAGAACACAACAAACGTTGTGCGCAAGTGCAGCAGTGAACTCTGCATGCTATCCCAGTTTTGGTTTCAGCAACACCCCTCTCCCCGGCACAGTTATAAATATAGCTGTCATATATCATGTTACCACCATATTTGGAATGGCCTTGAGCCTGACACAGTCTCAGTCTGTCTCAGCTCATGCTGTATGTGCTTTCGTTGAAGTTTTTGTTGAAGGTAAGAGGCAAAATCTGCTGTTTATGAAGAATCCTTAACCCACTTTTTAGGTTGTTGTTGGGAAGAATCCTTTGGGAATAGGAAGAGACCGTCACGTTTCTATGGGTATATTTGTCAAAAGTATTTCCATATAAAGTAAATACCGATGGCGCTATACATATCCTTATACTCCTACCTTGAAAAATCCTTTTAAATATGGTTAAAAAAGTTTGTTAAGTTCGAGATTTAAAGAATCTGGGTAATTTGACTTTCTGATTCTTCATTCCTCTGCAATTTGGCTTGACCGGTGCGAGTGATGTTTTGATCGAACGGAGCGGCAAATTAGGAAGAATAGCAATTTACACATTGACAGTGAGAAAAAACAAAACTGTCTGTGTTTTCATGCCTGATATTTTGTAAAAATTCCCTAGTACCATATAAAGTCGCTAACACGCCCCACTTCCCCTTCCGTCTCTAGCTATACTATGTGATTGAACAAGAAAATTTGGACAGCGGGTTGCTGTTAAGTTAACTGTTGCTATTCGCGCACGTTGTACTTCTTATACTATAACCCATGTAGTGCAATTTATTAAAATCAATTAAAAATAAAGCAATCGGTATAAAAAGGTTTGTCACAACGTGTCATCTAGGTCTTGTTATCATCATTGAAAGAACAAGAGACTCTACTGTTGTTACATCTGGATATACGTGAAGAATGACACATTATATGCTAGGCACAAACCTCATATTGTAGAAAATGACATCGATGGAGAGTAGAGAGAAAGGAAAAGAATAGAGAGTCACGATGCCGAGTACCTCTGCTACTGTGTACTATGTAGATTGGAGTTAGTAGAGATGGTACAAAGCTTGAATTTTCTATTGTACTCAGTATTCATGTATCTCATATTCTAAATGTTGTTATCATACGAAGATACAAATGTGCAACAAGTATGTTATATTTAATATAGGGTTTGGCTGGCTCACTGCTAAGTCGCGTTCCCCTTATCTTGTACATTGTCATCGTACCCTGTCACGTTTATTGAGGACACTAATTTACCTAATGATCTGGCGTGATTGACAGCAACCTTTAGCCAATCACTGCTGTTATCAAGGGGGGGGGGGGTTCTAAAGGACAGTGCTTGGAAACGACGTATCACAAAGTCGGTAATATGGCCTGCTTTCCTGCAAAAGACGTATAAATTGCTTTAGCGTGACCGACGTAGCAACAGTATCTAAGTGGGCGTGGTTATCGTGCTTAGATGGACAGGTCAATTACATTATAGTGCTGCAGTAATGCGGCGATGTGAGCTATACTATGTAATATATACTATAATAAATACTACGTGAACCTACGCTATACACTTACACTTGTACGCATGCGGACGAACGCGCGCGCGAGCATGCGTGGGGCGCTTGCACGGGGCGTCCCTACACTAGTACCCATGTCTTTTTACTTGGTTAGTTGTTGCTTCGGTAATAGACATTGCTATTAACGAAGTGGTGAGATAGAGCGCTCCGTTCAGCCGTGTCCAGCACTTTACGCAGACACGTACGTCGCCACGTGTACCACACACACGCCTATACACTTATACACGCACGCACGCGTGTGTGTGCGTGTGTGTGTGCGCGTGTGTGCGTATGTGCGTGTGTGCGTGTGTGCGTCACCGTGTGTTGTGTTGTGTGTGCGTGTGCGTGTGCGTGCCTGCGCGCGCGCGTGCGCGTGTGTTGTGTATGAGTGTGAGTGTGAGTGTGAGTGTGAGTGTGAGCGTGAGCGTGAGCGTGAGCGTGAGGTCGCGGGCACGATGCTGCAGCGTGAGGGTGTGGTGTGTGGTGTTGTGCACTGTGTGTGTGTGTGTGTGTGTGTGTGTGTGTGTGCGGTGTGTGTGTGTGTGTGTATGGTGTGTGTGCCTGTGTGTGTCGTGCTGCGTGCGTGCGTGCGCGCGTGCTGTGCTGTATGGCGTGTGTGTGTATGCGTGTGTGCGTGCGTGCGTGTTTCCCTATGTGTGTGTGTGTGTGTGCGTGCGTGCGTGCGTACGTGCGTGCGTGCGTGCGTGCGTGCGTGCGTGTGCGTGTGCCAGCTAAAGAAAAACACGACCACTAAGATTTTAAAACCGACTCCAAGTAACGCGAGTAGTAAAGAATCTTGAAGAATGCGATGCTATGTTAAAGATACCTACAGTCTGCTTTAAAAACTGGCGCACACATTAGGACTAAAAATACTCGCAGTTGTTCGCGCTACTCAACTTTCTTCCTGTAATATAACTTACTCTGGTTGCTGGATGCTGCGTTTCAGAGGCAGATCTGGCCTGCGGCACGTGCTGTCACCTGTTGGCACGGATAATAAGTAGACTGGCAGCGAACGGCTATGAAAGCAAACATTGAAACATAAACCCTGCTTTGTGCTTCTGTTTCTGTCCATTTCTTCACTTCTGGACCTGACCCATTAGTATCAAAGCAAACACGGGGTAGATATCGTGGACAGAAATTTACATGAAAGATGAGTGTAGTCATCCCCGGATTCAATTTACATGTTCTAC